TGTCATGCCTCTTCTATGTTTACACAATACTAATTGAAGTCATTGACAAGTATACGGATTATAACTTTGTTTTATGCATGTAATGGCAGAACACATGTTAAAGCAGCCTATTAAAAAGTCATCGTCTTGTTATCAAGCATAACACCAAACAATCTGACGTCAAAGAACGCGTTAATATTTCCCGAACTTTTGTACATCGCTATAATTTGTGTTTGGATCGACTTGATTTTCATTTGTGTTTCCTTTAAAATGTAACAAAAAGAAAATTTAAAGGTTTCGCGTCAAATGTATTTCTATATATCACTCCTTTGACAGAATATATCTTCGTACTCGTGAAAAATATATTTATATATATATATATATTATCTTAAACGGGAAACCATTCAATACGCTATATTTAATCAACTTAAATATTAATAACGTTCGTGGTATAAAAAAAATGCAGATATTCATATACGTTACATTTGTAAATCACATTTAAAACTCGTAAGACAGTTTTAACAGCTTGTTTTAAATAGTAAGCAAATTAAGGTTTATTAATGTAAGAAGCTACATTTTTTTTTCAGGATAGATTTATTTTTTAGGTCGGTTTGTTTTGTGGTTTTTAGGGTATATATACAAGATATAGGTATAGACTGTATACATGGTTACACTATATACCTGTATACACAAGGAAACGGCTATCCAATGTGTACACTTGATTTCAACCTTTACATAGTGTACTAGTGTTATAGTAGTAATATGTGTCAATCTAATACACGAGATGATAAATGTCTTCGTGGCCATTATGGAATTTGCAAACACATTCATGAATTTCGAAAAATTAAATAAGATATAATTTTATATCAAAGAAATGAAAGAAAAAACACTGCTATGATTCATGACTATATGTTAGCTCGTTAGCAACTGTCTGACATTTCTGGACAGGACAGGAAACATCATGAGGGATCGATGATGAGGCGGAAGGAAATGTTTTTTCCGAGTCACTTCGTTCTGGTTTTTCGTCTTCGTTAAGTCGCAGTATGCTATTTATTCCATCACTATGTCATGTTAATTTGGAATATCTCTTAATCTTAACTACAAGTTATATTATTCCTGTTCAGTTATATATGACCCCATCTATAGACGTTATGGAATAAGTTTTCTGGTGTGATGATGCCGTTTTCATTGACACCACTGTATTTCCCTGTGTATACATGTTGTGATATGGCCCCGTCTGTAGACTTCATGGAATAAGTTTTCTGGTGTGATGATGCCGTTTTAATTGACACCACTGTATTTCCCTGTGTATACATGTTGTGATATGGCCCCGTCTGTAGACTTCATGGAATAAGTTTTCTGGTGTGATGATGCCGTTTTAATTGACACCTCTGTATTTCCCTGTGTATACGTGTTGTGATATGGCCCCGTCTGTAGACTTCATGGAATAAGTTTTCTGGTGTGATGATGCCGTTTTAATTGTAATTGACACCTCTGTATTTCCCTGTGTATACGTGTTGTGATATGGCCCCGTCTGTAGACTTCATGGAATAAGTTTTCTGGTGTGATGATGCCGTTTTAATTGACACCGCTGTATTTCCCTGTGTATACGTGTTGTGATATGGCCCCGTCTGTAGACTTCATAGAATAAGTTTCCTGGTGTGATGATGCCGTTTTAATTGACACCGCTCTGTTTCCCTATGCCCCCTTCGTTAAGATACACTTTCGATTTTGAATCGGTGTTTCAATATTTACTGTATAGGTAAGATGCAAAATCAACGCAAATGTTTAATATTCTTAGATGTACATTTCAATCTGATATGTGTAACAAATAAACATGAAATCTAGTATTGAATGTCATCCATATAACTACTTCTAACACTCAATCCACACCGAATTAACGTTACAACAAAGTACGCTTTACATTTCGCATACATTAAGGTGTTCATGTCATAAGACCTACGTTGCAGAATATTATACAATAGCTCACAGTAATTACAACGGTTGTGTGCGTTGTCTCTCTCTGACTCTCCGGTAGTTTGTCTTCGTTAATTACTGGCTTTTTCGATTTATTTGTCTTCTGAGGTCAAAATTCATGTTAGCATTTGAAGAAATGAAATTTTCTGCATTAAAATTGTTTACATAGTTATCATGTATAACAATTCCTTTGCACACTCTGTCTATAAATTACTGATACATGTTAGCTGATGCTGAGGGGTCTTTCCCCACATCACATCAGCTATAGATCATACTATTCAATTTTACTAACTTGTATTATTAGGTTTGTCTACTACTATAACATAATTAATACGTAATCGGTAACCTTATTGAAATATAATCAAGACTTTTCCACGTACGTTGTGAATCTTGTATCAAATCTAACATATACATTGTGAAATCCGTACAAAAATAATATGCATTTATCACATACGCTGTGAATCTTGTACAAATCACACGTACTTACTGCCAAATCAATCAAAACTATGTGATGTAATTCGAACTCACTTCAGTCATATCGCGTTATGTTTATTCAGGAGGGAGTATATTTCGTGATGTTTCCTGGTTGTTGTGTCATTTTTCTGCATTAAAACGCGTTTGGCATTACATAAACAGTTAAATATTAATGTACAGAGATTGGTGATGCAGATCACTGTAATTTCAGTTTAACAATAATAAAAAACAAGTGCGTGGATGGCGAATCAATAACAGTGTTGTTTAATCTATATTATTGTGTATGCGTTAATATTGCACTGTTGTATGACCGAGAATGATTAATAGGTTTTTTTTAGGATGTCAACATTTTCATTAGCAATCACGCAAGTAATTCTGATGTAAATTCAGCCTGAAAGGTTTCGCTATTTCATTTGTCCACGGACATTCTGTGACGAGGTGCCAGGACTGAGGCGGGGATCTATCACGTTGGAACGATTGAAACACCATGTTTGCTTGGTAGGTCGATACTTTTGTGGAACAGAGATAACTTTATTTATTTTATGTTTTTATCTAACGGTAGTAACTCTTATTCCTTTGTATATTTTCATTTTGTTTAACTATCATTATTTTTGACGGTTACTATTTTTTAAAAATACATATTTTCCACGGAAGCCGGAAAATAAACAATCGTTTCGTTTCTTAATTTAAGATTCATGAACTAATTTTTTGACGAATGTATACATTCTTTGAAGTGTGTGTTGCTTTACTGTAACAAATAACAGGTAAACACTGTATCGCTTCATCTTGTGTTATCTTGTTATTAAAATATATGCATTTGGCTTGTATCAGTGACAGCTTTACATATCATAAGCATGTCAATATCATCTACTTAAACACGTTGACATTTGATCGTTATATAGGTTTTTAACAGTTTCATACTCTATCGATCGTATCTGTAAATTACAAATTAAGATGATTAAATTATCGTAATCGGGAACAGGATTAAGCGAAACTATGAATTAACTTTATATAAATTAAAACGTCTATTCTGAACATGGCAAAACTAACCTTCCTACTATGGTGAATTAAAATAATTATAATGTTGAAAAGAAATTTTTACACATTTTAGAATTGCAGAACAATTTATAATCTTATATTAATCACTCGTGTTGAAGCTGTGGAGACGAGCAAGGAGTCTTACCGCTGAGGGAACCAGGAACTAAGTTTGATATTTGTGCACGAGTTTCCACCCACGATACGAAATGTAACTACCCTTGATAAAAAAAAACCTGTATTTTATCATCAAATACCTAAAATGGCAACATAATCATATTCCAATTTCAAATGCCATAAAACGAGGGGAAATATGAACAAAAGAAAGATTTACACGGCGATTCCTGAAAAAGTACAAGGAGAATATGGCCACATGTTCCAGAAGCGTAAGCGTCTTCTGCTTCATCAACACCCACCATGTAAACCTTCCAAGTAAGTAATGTCACGTACTCAAATGAGAACAAGGTGTACAAAAAATAATACAAAGATAAACAAAGAGGAAATAAGTGCTTACATCGTTTTCTTATTACCATAACTTGGCGGTAGGACGGCACTCTCACATTTATTTTGACAGCACAACAGAAAGAGAAACTCGGGGTTTATTCCCTCACTTCACGCTTTCGTTGAAGATAGTTCAAAGAAATTGCAGCTTTGTCTATATCTAATAAGACACAGATAATTAAATTATACAATTTAAAGTAAGTATTTTATACACTATATCAGACACTCTATAATGATTTAATTCGAATTAATCAGGATCAATGCATTACTGTATAGCGGGTTGTCGTTCCAGAAGTTTGCAGTGCAGTATGGGAGAATTTATATTTTCACTGCGAATTCCGTGATCTGATTGGTCAAGAAAGAGTGAGAATGTAAAAACTGATAATTCACTGCGAAAAATATAATAAATGTAATAACTCGGAAAAGCCATGAAACAAAAGACGCGTACCCTTTCGAAACACGTGGCCTTATAGTTCGGACACTTTTTTCAATGGTTTATGTTGATGGCTTTCTTTTGATCAGATTTTACTCCTGTTTTATTGATTTTAAGTTTGAATTATTTATGTGTGTTATTTATCTATCAGTAAAAACAACAATGAAAGCGTATGTAAACTTTTTTATATTTACAGGAGGAAAGGTCAATACAATCTGACGAAGGTGTAGTTTAATAAGACTTTGTTCCACTTTTCATCAAAAGAAGCGACCATGAGATTATGACTATCACTGAAACTGGTATACGTTGTCTATACAAAGCAATAATGGTTCTTCAATTCTTCCTAAGTGTCTGGTTACTTGTTGCGATATCACCTCACTCTGCTGATCGAAGTATCAACACTACAGTCATACTGACGGAATACATTCTTGTCTGTGGATTTGATTATCTGTGTGACCCGAACTCTGTAAAATGGCTCGATTCTGCCCCAAAACCTCAAGGATATTCACACATCATTTCGTGTCCGAGCTGTTCATGTAACATAGACCGGTGCTTTTTTGAAAGCAATTGTTGCCCGGACATTCTATTTCAGTATCCCGAAATGTCATGCATAGATCTATCACTGTCAAACGACACTTCTGGAGATGTTGTTCTGATGGTGGCGAGTTGTCCACCAGACACAACATCAGAAATGAACCAAGCATGTTCTGAAGGAGACAACGGAAACAAAATTACAAATGTTCCAGTGTCCACTCCCTCAGAAAATGTAATCTTCAGAAACAAATATTGTGCTAGCTGTCACGGACATGAAAGTAACTTTACAAAATGGACATTTAACATTGAATGTGACAGTATAGTCGACATCAACCATCTGTCAAGCTACGATGAAATATACCAGACCGGACTGGACAATATGTGTAGGATGACCTACCATACCTCAAACAAGAATTCTTTTATCTCTTGTTCCTCAGGACACACCACTTTTCCCGGGTTCAAGGGGTGCAATATGACTGGGCAATGGGCAACATATGAAACGAGTATAGACTGGGCCTGCAGAAATATTATGGCACCATACCGAGGATTTAACAACATTTTCTGCTTTGCTTGCAATCCTGATAAACAATCAGATAGAACCATTATTTCTGGTTGCAATGTTACAGGAATGTGGGACCCATATGATTCTGATTTAGAAAAGGCATGTCTACAATACCCATATTCCCAGATTGCATACCCCTTTAAAAACAGGTTTTGCTATTTATGCAATAGAGGGAACGATATATTGAGTACATTCATGGACGCCGACAGCAGTCTTTCCTTGGAAGTATGGGAGATACATAAGGTAAATGCATACGAAGGAAAACTTAGAATAGACTCCTTACAACACGAAAAGCAGTTCCACGTGAATCTATCAGCAGAATCTACGGCCTCTCTGTCTCCTGATCGTTTTAATGCTGACGTCAACGTCTCCAAACTGTTGTCTCATCACTTTCTACATTATGGTTACCATGGATTCTGCCCTGACAAAGCAGCCGACTTGGATCACACAAACCAGCAATGTTCATGCAGTTTAACATGTCTTAATACAACTAGATGCTGTGCAGAATTTGCATTGAACGCACCGTTAACATATGTCAACGAGTTCAAACACTCACTTTCAGTTTCAAAATGTTATGGAAAGAATTCTGTGTTAAGTAAATCCACAGTGCAAGAGAGATGTGAAACCATCCAGCCATTGAAAGGTTTTTATAAAATTCCAGTTAGGTCTTTGGCATCGGGTATATTGTATAGTAACATATACTGTTTTCTCTGCAACGAGGGTCAGAAAACAAGAAATGATTCCGAAATTGAACCGGATTACAATCCACTCGACCTCAAAATCAAATGCAACTATACATTTCAAACAGAAAGGTATATATTCCTAGAAGATATGCTGAACGATTTTGATCGAATGTCATACGATGATGGTGCTGAGCATTGCACTGTTTCTACTGTGTATGATCTGTATGTCGACAATGAGCTCATTTCAGATACCATCAACAGGTGCAATGTTACGGGACACTGGGATCTATATGATTCAGATATCGAATGGGCTTGTCTCAATTACATTCGTGAGATAACTGGTGACTTGTATAATGGTTTCTATCAAAATATGTTTTGTGAAATGTGCAATACGGCATCTGATAGTGGTTTTAAATACACAACGTGTAATGCCACGAATTCTTCGATAAGTGACTATTGTGAAAAGTATCCACATATTACTTCAATGAAGCCATTTAAAAACATTTTTTGTAAGATATGTAACTATATACCACTTCTGTCACTTCCGCCACTGCTTTCAGACAGCATGACCAATTGTGACAGTAATGGAATTGAAATTGGAGATGTGATGTTTGATTTACCAAGGTTTTTCTCATCCACAGTAAGGGAAATATTTTTTTTCAGCATGGCACCAGAGTTTCCAGACCAAATAAAGAATGCATTTAAGATGTACGGAAATCGTTGCATGGAAAACGAAATTTACGATAAGGAAAAGGTATGTATTTTATTACAGACACCTGGTGGGTTAGATGTTGTTTACCGTGTTCCTATTTGGTAACGTGACATCATTTGTATAGATTTACATAGCTAGTGTTGTCGATGACCCTTTCGTGACACATTTTCTTACTCTTCTTGTACTTTTGAGGAGCATCTATTTAAACATTACTTTTGTTCCTATTTGTCCTAGTTTCAGCATTTGAGATTAAGATTTTGTTAACATGTCGGTATCAAAACAAAATCTATTGATTTCTCTTTTTGTATTTCAAGTTTGTATTATTATTTTTTAAATCTAAATCATCACTGAAACTTTTCAAACTTTATGAATGAATAAATAAATTATATATTTCCAATTGAAAATTAATCTCTGTCGTAAAAATTCTTCAACTTTCGGTCTTGTTGATATCTTTATCAAACGGCCACTGTCATAGTCACAATTTATTAAGAGACGTATGGTACAAACAACGCTGACAGGAGCATCAGCAGAAGTTAAATGCCAGTGCGGGAAGGTGTGCAAGAACATTCGAGGCTTGAGGATCCATCAAGCAAGGACGAAGTGCAGACTTGTGGAGTTACAGACGCAGCGCTCAGAAGTAATTTCTGGTGAGACTCAGGAGGACTCAAGCAAGGAGGCACCCCATAGCGCTGGGGACCTCTCCGCTTCGGTTTCGTCACAGGTCAGCAACTCGGACTTGAGTGATACAAACCGCGACCACAGTGTTCAAGCACATCGAGCACAGCCAGCACGGAGGGAGAAGATAGATTGGCCAAAGATGAACAACGATGAAGCGTGGAGAAGTTTGGATGCTGACTTAGAGACCATCCTGGAGTCAGCTCTAATCGGAAGCTTAGACAGGAAAGTTGAGGCAATGGGAACTATAATCTAAACCTTCAGCAAGAAGAGATTCGGAGTAGAAGAAAAGAGGAGAAATCCTAAGATTACCATCAATCCGAATAGAAGAGTGAATACCATCCGACGACTCAGAAGAGAACTGAAAGTAGTGACCCGGCAGTACAGGAAGGCAAATGATGAAGAGAGGATAGGATTACATCAGCTGCGAGACGACATCAGGGAGAACTTGACAAGACTCAGGAAGGCAGAACAGATACAGAAAACAAGGAAGGAAAGAGCAAGGAAGAGGGCATCCTTTATCAAGGACCCCCACTCCTTTACAAAGACTCTGTTAGGAAGTTTGCGGTGTTGGCAAGAAGAATGACAACATACATGACGACCAATGGATACATAGATACGTCAGTACAGAAAGGAGGTATCCCAGGCTTCTCAGGTTGTGTGGAGCATACCAGTGTGCTAAGCCAGCTAATTAGAGAGGCCAAGTCCAGCCGAGGGAACCTGACAGTAGTGTGGCTAGACCTGGCAAATGCATATGGATCAATACCACACCAGCTGATTGAGGTGGCCCTACAACACTACTTTATCCCAGATCACATACAGGGAATAGTACGAAGCTACTTCAGGCCGAGGGAGCTCTCAAGCACCGGGACATCATCGGAGCAACCTGCTCAGGGCGGCAAGGATTGGGGACAACACATTTCCAGAGGTGGGAAGGAACAGATGACAAGGAGAAAAGATCAATGGTACAGGGAGAGATTCGAAGAGAGGAAGAAGGAGCTAGGAAAGCAAGAGCAGTAGAAATGGGGTCACAAGGGGCATGGACAAGATGGAAGCTGCCGGAGCGGAAATTGACATGGACAGACCTGTGGCGCTATGAACCATTGAGGATCCAGTACCTGCTGCGGTCGGTATATGACACCCTACCACCGCTAGCGAAACTCCATCAGTGGGGACTAGTTGAAGAGCCAAAATGTCAGCTTTACCAAGAACGTGGGACCATGAGTCATATTCTTTCAGCGTGCAAGACAGCACTGACTCAGGGATGATACCGATGGAGGCATGACCAGTTGCTTAGGGAAATGGCAGAAGTTCTCGAGGTGGAGAGGAAACGGAAGAGTCCGCCACGAAAGCACAAACCATCCTTCATCCGGTTTGTGAAAGCAGGGGATAAGGGACCAGGACAACACCAGGCATCACAGGCATTCTAGGAGGGGCAGAGACATGGGAGATGAGAGTGGACCTTGGGAAAAAGTTGGTGTTTCCGGACATGGTACAAACAACACTACGTCCTGATGTGGTGATATAGGCAGATCGTAGTCATCGAGCTGACTGTACCCTGGGAAGAGCGATGTGACCAGGCCAACGAGAGAAAGAGAGCCAAGTATGCAGACCTCATGGAACAGTGCAGGGAACGAGGGTGGCGCACTGTTCCCTGTGGAGGTCGGCTGTAGAGGGTTCCCGGCACGCTCAGTCTGGAAGACGATTCAGGCTTTGGGTGTGGTCGGGAGGACACGAAAGATGGTGGTGCGCAGACTAGCGGAGGCTGCGGAACGCGCATCATGCTGGCTGTGGAGCAGACGGGAGGAGAAAGACTGGAAGCCATCCATGGACAGGCAGTGAGTTGATCGTCACTGTCGACCCACCATCACGAGGACGTTCCGGGACAGGGGTTGAAATGTCCAGAGACTGATGGACCCGGCTGATGATGTCAATGGATTAGCAGCACTCCACCGACTGTATAGGTTCATACAAGCTAGCGATCGATATTGAATCATCTGCCAATCCTTTTTTTTAATTATCAACCGACCATCCTGTAATCATGTTATTTGAATCAAGATAACCAACTAGCGACCACATTCGTTTCTTACTTTAAAAGTATCAAATGCCAGTTATATTTATTTCTCAATCATTGTATAGACTTTAAACAATTTTGATGACAACCGCGTTTTATTTCACAAATAAAAATGATAGTCTTGTGAGATATTTGAACAGTGCTGAAATAGGGCTAAATAGATCTTTTAGAGAAAAGTTCCATCCATCTTGACTTTAAAATGCTAATTAAATGACAGAAGCAAGATCGGTTGGTTTACTGTAAAATCATTCTTTTTCATAATGGATTTATTTTCTAGGATCTTTGGTCCTCTTAATCTTTGGATTGATATGTCTACGCATTTTGGTTCTCGTAATCTATGAATTGATATACAAATGTATCTACGAACTGTTGAAACGGATTTTTTTTCGCTATTTATATTCATGGCTCTTCCTAAAATAAATAAAGCAACGCCGAGAAAAGGGCTAAAAGAGATAAAAATATTAAAATCTACTTGTTCATAGGACAAAGCCAAAGCTAAAACGAAACAATCGCATCATACATGACCAAACCTGACTGGAGAATACATCATTTCTCCGGACATGTTCTAAGATACGCCAAATTCATAAGGGAGTTGAGTTAGTAGACAAATAGAGCTCGACAACCTTTTCGTTAAACCAAACCTTGAAATTAACAGTCAATGTAGCATGGTAAGCCGGGTATAAAACTTCGGTATGTAATGAACGCATCAACCAGTTTATTACTGGACTAAAGATCGTGTAGTTAATAGTCTATGCAATCAAGTCTAAGTAGAAACCATATATAAGTTCTAACAGCTAGGGGTTTTCAACAATTATATAATTATAAGGGTCAATACTGCCTAAACAATGGACGGTCGGCATTTAGAACAGTTCAATATGAGCTATAAAGAGATAATTCCGTCGCTAGTGCTATTTGTAACGCAACATATTATGTGCTCAAGGGACATAATATTCTAACATTAAAGCTTTACCAATGATATAAATTTGTAACACATATAAGTGGCATTAATGATATAAGCGAGATTCATGACTTTACGATTTGTCGATGGCTACTTATACACCCAAGAGTATAATTCATCTATTGGTTGTTAATTGTCCTGTCATTACTGCCCTTTCTACATTGCACTTGTTTAATTATAACGCATAATGGGGTAATTTTTAAAAATGAAAGAGATGATTTTTCTCGTTCAAAAATGGTAACGAGTTGCCAATTGGGGGTACATTTTAAAAACGAAAGAGATGATTTTTCTCGTTCAAAAATGGTAACGTGTCGCCAATTAGGGTAATCTTTAAAAATGAAAGAGATGATTTTTCTCGTTCAAAAATGGTAACGAGTTGCCAATTGGGGGGAAATTTTAAAAACGAAAGAGATGATTTTTCTCGTTCAAATGTCTTTTCAAGGAAGGTAAGATGCTCAATAATCGTAGAATTTACATTTTCAAATAGATACTATGTTGTCGATATCAGTAATATCACCATATCCGACCGACAGTGATACGGGAAACATTCATTGATGAAAGGGTTTCAGTAAATGTGATGATAATATCACAAAATCAAACTGGGGGATGTGAAGTATGTCAGTCTGTGATGGTAATATCACACAATCAAACTGGGCGATGTGAAGTATGTCAGTCTGTGATGGTAATATCACAAAATCAAACTGGGAGATGTGAAGTATGTCAGTCTGTGATGGTAATATCACAAAATCAAACTGGGAGATGTGAAGTGAAGTATGCCAGTCTGTGATGATAATATTACAAAATCAAACTGGGAGATGTGATGTGAAGTATGCCGGTCTGTGATGGTAATATCACAAAATCAAACTGGGAGATGTGATGTGAAGTATGCCGGTCTGTGATGGTAATATCACAAAATCAAACTGGGTGAATCGATGTGAAGTATGTCAGTCTGTGTTGGTAATATCACAAAATCAAACTGGGAGATTCGGTGTGAAGTATGTCAGTCTGTGATGGTAATATCACAAAATCAAACTGGGAGATTCGGTGTGAAGTATGTCAGTCTGTGATGGTAATATCACAAAATCAAACTGGAAGATCAAACTGCCAGTCTGTGATGGTAATATCATAAAATCAAACTGGGAGATGTGATGTGAAGTATGCCAGTCTGTGATGGTAATATCACAAAATCAAAGTGGGAGATTTGGTGTGAAGTATGTCAGTCTGTGATGGTAATATCACAAAATCAAACTGGGAGATTCGGTGTGAAGTATGCCAGTCTGTAATTGTTATATCACAAAATCAAACTGGGAGATGTGAAAAGTATGCCAGTCTGTGATGATAAAATCCCAAATTCAAACTGGGAGATGTGAAGTATGCCAGTCTGTGATGGTAATATCACAAAATCAAACTGGGAGATGTGATGTGAAGTACCATAATATCACAAAATCAAACTGGGAGATGTGAAGTATGCCAGTCTGTGATGGTAATATCACACAATCAAACTGGGAGATGTGAAGTATGCCAGTCTGTGATGGTAATATCACAAAATCAAACTGGGAGATGTGAAGTATGCCAGTCTGTGATGATAATATCACAAAATTAAACTAGGAGATATGATGTGAAGTATCATAATATCACAAAATCAAACTGGGAGATGTGAAGTATGCCAGTCTGTGATGGTAATATCCCAAACTCAAACTGGGAGATGTGATGTGAAGTATGCCAGTCTGTGATGATAATATCACAAAATCAAACTGGGAGATGTGATGAGAAGTATGTCAGTTTGTGATGGTAATATCACAAAATCAAACTGGGAGATTCGGTGTGAAGTATGCCAGTCTGTGATGGTAATATCACAAAATCAAACTGGGAGATTCGGTGTGAAGTATGCCAGTCTGTAATTGTTATATCACAAAATCAAACTGGGAGATGTGAAGTATGCCAGTCTGTGATGATAATATCACAAATTCAAACTGGGAGATGTGAAGTATGCCAGTCTGTGATGGTAATATCACAAAATCAAACTGGGAGATGTGATGTGAAGTACCATAATATCACAAAATCAAACTGGGAGATGTGAAGTATGCCAGTCTGTGATGATAATATCACAAAATCAAACTGGGAGATGTGAAGTATGCCAGTCTGTGATGGTAATATCACACAATCAAACTGGGAGATGTGAAGTATGCCAGTCTGTGATGGTAATATTACAAAATCAAACTGGGAGATGTGAAGTATGCCAGTCTGTGATGATAATATCACAAAATTAAACTAGGAGATATGATGTGAAGTATCATAATATCACAAAATCAAACTGGGAGATGTGAAGTATGCCAGTCTGTGATGGTAATATCACAAAATCAAACTGGGAGATGTGATGTGAAGTATGCCAGTCTGTGATGATAATATCACAAAATCAAACTGGGAGATGTGAAGTATGCCAGTCTGTGATGGTAATATCACACAATCAAACTGGGAGATTCGGTGTGAAGTATGCCAGTCTGTAATTGTTATATCACAAAATCAATCTGGGAGATGTGAAGTATGCCAGTCTGTGATGATAATATCACAAAATCAAACTGGAAGATGTGAAGTATGCCAGTCTGTGATGGTAATATCACACAATCAAACTGGGAGATGTGAAGTATGCCAGTCTGTGATGGTAATATTACAAAATCAAACTGGGAGATGTGAAGTATGCCAGTCTGTGATGATAATATCACAAAATTAAACTAGGAGATGTGATGTGCCAGTCTGTGATGGTAATATCACAAAATCAAACTGGAGATGTGATGTGAAGTATGCCAGTCTGTGATGATAATATCACAAAATCAAACTGGGAGATGTGATGAGAAGTATGTCAGTTTGTGATGGTAATATCACAAAATCAAACTGGGAGATTCGGTGTGAAGTATGCCAGTCTGTGATGGTAATATCACAAAATCAAACTGGGAGATTCGGTGTGAAGTATGCCAGTCTGTAATTGTTATATCACAAAATCAAAGTGGGAGATGTGAAGTATGCCAGTCTGTGATGATAATATCCCAAATGCAAACTGGGAGATGTGAAGTATGCCAGTCTGTGATGGTAATATCACAAAATCAAACTGGGAGATGTGATGTGAAGTACCATAATATCACAAAATCAAACTGGGAGATGTGAAGTATGCCAGTCTGTGATGATAATATCACAAAATCAAACTGGGAGATGTGAAGTATGCCAGTCTGTGATGGTAATATCACACAATCAAACTGGGAGATTCGGTGTGAAGTATGCCAGTTTGTAATTGTTATATCACAAAATCAAACTGGGAGATGTGAAGTATGCCAGTCTGTGATGGTAATATCACACAATCAAACTGGGAGATTCGGTGTGAAGTATGCCAGTCTGTAATTGTTATATCACAAAATCAATCTGGGAGATGTGAAGTATGCCAGTCTGTGATGATAATATCACAAAATCAAACTGGAAGATGTGAAGTATGCCAGTCTGTGATGGTAATATCACACAATCAAACTGGGAGATTCGGTGTGAAGTATACCAGTCTGTAATTGTTATATCACAAAATCAATCTGGGAGATGTGAAGTATGCCAGTCTGTGATGGTAATATCACACAATCAAACTGGGAGATTCGGTGTGAAGTATGCCAGTCTGTAATTGTTATATCACAAAATCAATCTGGGAGATGTGAAGTATGCCAGTCTGTGATGATAATATCACAAATTCAAACTGGGAGATGTGAAGTATGCCAGTCTGTGATGGTAATATCACAAAATCAAACTGGGAGATGTGATGTGAAGTATCATAATATCACAAAATCAAACTGGGAGATGTGAAGTATGCCAGTCTGTGATGATAATATCACAAAATCAAACTAGGAGATGTGATGTGAGGAATGTCAGTCTGTGATGGTAATATCACAAAATTAAACTGGGAGATGTGATGTGAAGTATGTCAGTCTGTGATGATAATATCACAAAATCAAACTGGGAGGTGTGATGTGATGTATATCAGTCTGTGATCGTAGTATTGTAGTTCTCCGTTACGGGTTAGAAGTTTTTGCTGTACGAAATATTTCTTAAAAATAATCTGACAGTCAATGTTATAGCAGAAGTGTTTAGACCAATAGCCATTTATCTATTTATTTATTTTGTTTTCCTGGTTTTGTTGTAGAACTCTTGCATTTTACAAGAATGCGCAGACGGGAAATTGTTGAGAGAAGAGAAGTGTGTACCGCTTCTGCAGTTCACAACATCTCTGGGATACACCTTGATGCTAAGGATCACGGGACACGTTACGACATTTGATGAAGTTGTAGTGGAAAACATGTTATCAGATATAGAAAGCCTGGTATATAACGTCATAGAAGCTGTGTTAACTACCCTGCCAGAAATAATAACATCGTACATGTCGACACCGCTCCAGTGTAGAAACCGGATAGAGGCAGGTGAAAGAATCAACATCACGATTACGCATTATACATCTTTCTATATAAAGAAGGTAGTCAACCGATTTGACCTTGAGAGTAAGCTGATTAAGTTAACCAACAGTACTATTACACGCCCTTCAAACACATCAGAAATTGAAATAGCCATCGAGACACACTCTTCAGCTTTAGAGCTTCCAGGGAAGATCGTTATGCTGGATTTCGAGTCCAATTGTTTTCGTGTTAAACAAAGAGAGTTTGAATATAATAGAAATGCTTACCGGTTGAAACTAGTATCGAAATTATTATTGTGTCCAAGAGTTAAACTTTCAAACGACCGGTTTGAAATTGACGAAAGTTCACGAAGAATGACGTTACTTCCGCACGGACCGGTGCTTCCCTTTGGTAATTACGAAATCTTAGCAAACAGCACAGTATCTGTTTGTGTTGAAGACTTTGTCGCAATGATGGACGGTAGAACTTTTGAGAAAGAGGACCAGAATTTATTGTCGACAATTCTTAGTATAGTCTCGTTTGTGTTCACATGTCTATCACTGCTCTGTCTCGTCATTACTTTCTTGACGTACTGTTTCTTTCCTGAACTTCGAACCTTACCTGGTAAAAACAACATGTGTCTTATATTTTCTCTCTTTGTCTCTCAATGTCTGACACAGTTTGGTATGATGCGCACTGAACATACCGTCCCGTGTATGATCATAGCCGTATTTCTTCATTTCTTCTGGTTGTCGGCTTTCTTCAGTATGAATATCTGCTCCTTCCACATGTTCAGGGTGTTTGTTTTTCCGTTGAAGGAGGCGAGGCGAAATCACAGATGGACTTGCTTTTGGTATATATGTTACGTGTTTGGAATGTCGGCTTTGATTGTGATCGTTTACATATCATTGTCTGTGGTTGTGTTTGAAAGTGATAACCTTGGGTACACAGGCAATGGTAAATGTTTCCTCTCGTCTTTTGAATCAGTAATTGTTACATTCATATCGCCTGTAGTGGTGGTTTGTGTTTCAAATGTTATCTTTTTTGCTGTTGTTGCTTTCAAAATTTCGACAGCACCAAAGGTTCCGTCGAACAAAAGCATTCGACAGGAGTTTCCCCTTTACGTAAAATTGTTTGTCCTTACTGGTGCGACGTGGATTTTGCAGATCTTGGACGCTTTTATGCCTTTATCAGTGTTCTCCATTATCTCCGGTATTTTGAATTCATCTCAAGGTATTTTTATCTTTTTATCCTACTCGACCAATGGACGTGTTCGCAAATTCTACAAAGAAAGATTATCTAGTACCAGATCAACTAGTATCTCAAATAAAAGAGAATTTTCTGCAATACCAAAAACTACTAGTTGTCAGAATGATGAAAAAACGGTCACGGACTCAAGTTTATGAACATTAAAATCCGGTGATTTTATGAACAGTGGTTACATGTGTGAAGGGCAGTATTTGTACAAGAATTGTCATAACAAGCATGCTCTGAATAGTTCACCAATGTCTGCATCACGCAACAACTTATTATTCAATCATTTTTAAGACAGTTTTGGTATTCTTGGATTTGAAATATTACAGCTGAAGCATCTGTTAATATATAAACGTTATTCACGTTCAACCGAATTTTGATTATATCCTTGAGCAGAAATAATACTTAAAAGACAAGCTATCCACCAGCTGACATTGTCATGTTTTAATTCATTCCAAAAGTGGCAGTGTTCAGAGTATATACATGTTCTTGACATTCTTTGGAAATCATGCAATACTGAAATTATGAGACTAATTCAATTTTGAAGTAACTGTCTTTTTTCTCATTTGGTTTAAACAAAATTTTAATTTTTCTCAGTCGCCTCTTTGGTTTCACGAGTTATGTCCTACTGTATCTCATTTTAAATTTGCTTCCAAAAGTTCTTATCACTTGTGTGTCTTTTATATAAAGATGGTGATGGTGATGGTGTGATCATAGTGTTGATGTACATGTAGATAAAAATGTGCTTGTTGTCAGTAGGATTAAAATTGGAGCAGAATGCATCATATCAGTCCGTCTGAATGAGATGGCGTGGTTTATCCGGGGCTCAGAATCAACAATGGTGTTTTTAAACATTAGATATCGGTATTGTTTGAGAACACCGCCACGTGCTCCTATTCTGATTTATCAGAAGACAGCTTTTACATTGTTAGAATAATAACATATTCATTTATATATATTGTATCATATAGTATATTTGTACTTGTGTGCTAATTACTTGGGTGACTTTGATACTGTAATTTCCCTATTTTTCCCAAACATTTGTTACCGTTGATGGAGCAACATTGAGGTAGATATTTAGAGATTTATTGCCATCGATTGTCTTGTTAATGGCGGATTTGTATATACTTCAGCTTATTGATGTAATATGCTCCTTTATATATCAAATGATATTTCTCTGTAACCTTTATCCTAGTTGTGACAAATTCCAAAATGTTCCCCACTGGATGAAATATTTGTAAATAACTTCTTTAGATTCGTTACAGCATTCGTCATTGTTTTGATAGTAATAAGATAGTGGTTGATATGTTTGAAATTTATGTATTTTATTTCACATAATATATAGAGATTACACAACGAGTGGTTGTTGGATACGGCGTATTCAACAAGCACTCGTTGTGTAATCTGTTTCTACCATTCTTATTTCGAGATCACAGGCGGTAGGCGAAGACCGATACATGTATACGTGTGTAAACAATTTGCTGACATATGCAAATATGGCGTAGAGATATCACTCCGAGTGAAAAGGCTTCAATTAATATTCAAAAATATATATGGTGATAAATAATTCATTTCTTTATTATTTTCACAATTTTAAAGTTTACACATAATCACACAATGACGATTAGTTGTCTTATAAACTTGAACTGTCTATATAATCGTAGAAAATCTCGGACTCTATTATGCGCGCTTTTATACAGACACATATAGTGGAGTCATCTGGTTCCCGCCGGAAACTTCAAACTCAATCACTGTCAGAATCAGAGTACAGCACCCTTGGTCTGGGATGTTTATAGACGTTTGTATTGTTAATGTTTATTGTGAATGAACCACCGTGAATAGGACCTGCGGGATTTGCAGACACAGTTGATTCAGGATTTGGAGGTCTGATGATGACTTCGCTTGCACTAGATGTGCTATTTGCTCTAGTGAAAGGTCTGCCACCAACATGATCCAAGCATGACGATATCGCTCTTGAAATCGTCCGGTGCTGGTTTGTGTTTAAAGTTGAGTAACTGTTGATACTCTGAATATTCTTGTGCCCGGAAATCTGGAGGATGCAGAGAATTACATAATTAGGCATCGTTTTATAGGACCAATGGAAGTAGAGATCTAGTTATCGTCTACTCTAAGCCGGACAGTGATGCATTACCCTGCATTATGAAAGCAGGAGATTTTTATAAATTTATATTAGCGTTAAACTGTTTGGGATTTAATTTCTTTAAACAAGGTAAGTGTTCATTTACGCGTAACGATTATAGGCCCTAATGATCAAGTTGAGATATTTCAATGTGAAAATAGTTTGTATCTGCATAATCTGATTTGGGGGTAATCCTTTGTCATCGAGTTTTTGTACAAGGTACTTTCTGGCACTATGGTTTGTCAGTCTTTTCCCGTCATTGTTACTCCCAGACTTGTTCATCAGACCTGGTTACATAAAAAAACAGGCATAAATCTAAACTCTGAATATGAACTGAATAAATAACAAGCAATTGCATCTAGGCCTATATAAGCACCATTCCGACATCCGAAATAATTAAAGAAATTTATTACTTTGGGCTGGAAATATGCTCAAAAGATCAATTTTGACTTCAGTCGACTAAAATTGTGAAAAGGCTACAATGTTAGGCCTAGGTGTAAGCAAGTGCAACATTACAAATACATTGTACTACAATGTATCAATGACGTAAGCTGACGTAAAAGGGGTGGAGTAAAAGCATTTGTAAACATACAGGCTACCACTGACAAGCCGGTATCACGTCGAAACGATACTTGGCTTCTGTGACAGTGTTTCCCGAATTAAGCTCTATTTGGAAACGATCAAACCCAACATTATTATCTGCTTTTGAAATTGCCCGGATTACACCCTTTTCCCCATCACATACCCTTACTTTATCACTTACATTCACCTCAAGCGTATCCAGTTCAGCCATGTTGACAGCAAACGATATTAAACAAATCGCACGTGGAACAAATCACGCGAGTGAAAAAAGTAGTTCGGGTCAAAGTTCACCAATCATGTATCCGGAAGGCCATATACCACTAGTGGAATATCACTTAAATTTATCCAACACCCGTCATATTTACACAATGGCCTGAGAGTGGAATAAATCAAAGTAGAATGGTAGAAACATATATACATAACATTTTCCCAAAGTTACATGTATATGATATATAAATATTACGAAATTTACTTAATTAAGGGGCTAGGCTAGCCCCTATCTAGATTTTGACATGTATTTGTGATCGCTTTGAATTTTTCTCGGTCACCTCCTAGGTAGAGCATTTAGGTCCTTAGCACCTCTGACGAGTCCTACATGGACGAAACAGATGTATGATGAAGTTTTGAATTCATTGTTTGACTCTACTGTATCTTATCTTATTTTGTATTAAACAGTGCTAATCACTTGTGTCTTTTGTCCAATATTCAATGACCGGAAAGTAGGCATAGCATCCATAATAGGTATTAGCAAAATATGTATTTACGTACTAAGAAAAACAAAATCATTATTTATTATTTGCTAGCTAATAGAGACTAGCTCATCAATGTTTATTTTCTTTCAAGTGTATACCGAAATCTGTATCAAAGCAGATTTACCATACTCTCACATGAAACAGACCAGTCCATTGTGGTTACATGGCAGAGAGTCATTCATAATATTTAGATATCTTTCTTCTTGTACAGATTTTTAAGATTCAGCCAAATGTTACATAATCCAACATATGAAACTTTAGAAGATCAATGAATTGTCCATTGAAAAAGCTGCAACATGTCTGATCCAACATCATATGCTAATTAAATGTTGTATTTATTGCTAGGCAGAAACTCATGAATATAACAATTTGATATGTTTGATAAATATTCACATTGGTATGGTTAAATATTAAAACACACAGGAACAAGTAAAAAAAGACAATTTTTCATTTTAATAATAAAAAGCTCGCTTAACATATCAAAAGCTTTTTCACGACGAGAGTTAATTCCACGTGTCGTTGACATGTAGGTAGCTATTCACCGGGAGCAGAAACAATTATTAAAGCTCAACATTCTACTAATAAAAACATTATTAATACAAATGCAGCGCACAGAACTAATCAATCATTTCACACCGGTGGACAAATAACATAAATGACTAGCTGAAAAGTTTTGTCTCCAGCCATCCTTTCAACGGGAAATGAAAGGAAAAATAACTTAATTATAGAATAGGATTAAAATTAATCACAGTAACAAAAGAAAGTGCACCACTTCACAATCAAGCAATCAGCTACTCGCTGAAGTCATTACTCATATATTAATACATAATTTTGCTGTGTATTGGTACAAACAATTATATGGTTTATTATTCATGCTTTCGGTTATATATTTGAAATAAAGTCGTATGTAATAAAGTGGAGTGTTGTGAATCAATCATTGATTAAGTATCATTTCATTCATATATTCGAACAGTCAAACTCGAACAATGATATGAATATACTAGAACGGTAATATCAAATAAGGTAATACTAATATAGTTATAACAGAGTGGTAATACTAGTAGGGTAATGTTAGAACAGTAATAATAGAACGGTAATACTAGTAGGGTAATAGTAGTACAGTGATACTAGAACCGTTATACAGGTACGGTGATACTAGAACCGTTATACAGGTACGGTGATACTAGAACCGTTATACAGGTACAGTGATACTAGAACCATAATACAGGTACAGTAATGCTAGAACCGTACTACAGGTACAGTGATACTAGAACCGTACTACAGGTACAGTGATACTAGAACCGTACTACAGGTACAGTGATACTAGAACCGTTATACAGGTACAGTGATACTAGAACCATAATACAGGTACAGTAATGCTAGAACCGTACTACAGGTACAGTGATACTAGAACCGTTATACAGGTACAGTGATACTAGAACCGTTATACAGGTACAGTGATACTAGAACCGTTATACAGGTACAGTGATACTAGAACCGTTATACAGGTACAGTGATACTAGAACCGTTATACAGGTACAGTGATACTAGAACCATAATACAGGTATAGTGATGCTAGAACTGTTATACAGGTACAGTGATACTAGAACCGTTATACAGGTACAGTAATGCTAGAACCGCACTACAGGTACGGTGATACTAGAACCGTTATACAGGTACAGTGATACTAGAACCGTTATACAGGTACAGTGATACTAGAACCGTTATACAGGTACAGTGATACTAGAACCGTTATACAGGTACAGTGATACTAGAACCGTTATACAGGTACAGTGATACTAGAACCATAATACAGAACCGTTATACAGGTACAGTGATACTAGAACCGTTATACAGGTACAGTGATACTAGAACCGTTATACAGGTACAGTGATACTAGAACCGTTATACAGGTACAGTGATACTAAAACCATTATACAGGTACAGTAATACTAGAACCGTTATAAAGGTACAGTGATACTAGAACCGTTATACAGGTACAGTGATACTAGAACCGTTATACAGGTACAGTGATACTAGAACCGTTATACAGGTACAGTAATACTAGAACCCGATACTAGAACCGTTATACAGGTACAGTGATACTAGAACCGTTATACAGGTACAGTGATACTAGAACCATAACACAGGTATAGTAATGCTAGAACTGTTATACAGGTACAGTGATACTAGAACCGTTATACAGGTACAGTGATGCTAGAACCGTTATACAGGTACAGTGATACTAGAACCGTTATACAGGTACAGTGATACTAAAACCATAATACAGGTACATTGATGCTAGAACCGTTATACATGTACAGTGATACTAGAACCGTTATACAGGTACAGTGATGCTAGAACCGTTATACAGGTACAGTGATACTAGAACCGTTATACAGGTACAGTGATACTAGAACCGTTATACAGGTACAGTGATACTAGAACCGTTATACATGTACAGTAATACTAGAACCGTTATACAGGTACAGTGATACTAGAACCGTTATACAGGTACAGTGATACTAGGACCATAATACATGAACAGTGATACATGCACAGTGATACTTGGTAAAGTAATTCTAAAAATGGTATCACTGGTAAAACATTTACAGTACAAAATATTAACAAAGTATCAACTCAATCAAGCTGTATATACAGCGGAATATACCATAAATATCACACCAACATACGTTTCAATATATACCAGATCCAGGGAATCAGATGTTACAATGACTTCATAGAAAGGAGCATTTCAGGACAAAATTTTTTTGATGTTCTGAAGTATTTAAAGCATATTTTCTCGTACATTCTCAGATACTGAAATATGAGGTTCGTTCAATATATCCTCGGCTCTAGTACACACAAAGAAAGTGACAAGTCGTTAGAGTTAATATTTCAATTGTAGTTACAGAGGGTAGGAAAATGCTTTATCAAACTGTTCATCTATTACACACTTATTCCAACTGAATAAAATGTACCGAAAAAGAAAGTAGTAATGATCAGAAAAATATCATGTGAACAAGAATTGTCTTTCTTGTGCCAAATTCATAAAAAAAAATACCTATGATTGCACAACAGGTTGGACTTTGTGTTCCACAGCGGTCCCATGAGCCATTTGACTTATAATGTCGGAATCGTTGTCGTCTCCATTTTGAGTGTCGTCATCAGTGTCCTCCTCATCGTCATCTCCTGTATCATCATGATCATCATTGTCTTCCGTGTCTGCGTTGTCATCGCCATCATTGATAGAATCGTCAGTGTTGCCATTGCCTTCCGTATCGTTACCATCGTTACTGCCAGCAGACGTATCTTTATTGGACTCATCTGTTTCAGCCTCACTTGGAGCACCATCCTCAGGAACAGTGTCGGACTGTGCATTACTGCCGTTTCCACAAACCTTTGTTGATGTCACGGTTTGATGACACTTTCGCCTTAGCCATATGGTGTATGTAATAGATATAAATGGTTCTTTTGGACAACAGGCATAATAAAGGTTCTCTCGTTTTACTTCCTGGTCGACGATCTGGTAATCAGGATTTTCGCTGTAGTCTGCCATCAGCAAACCATCCCCATCAATAGTCATGTTCAAATCCGCTTCGTGATATGTCCATGATCCAAACTTTAGTGGACATTTGAAATCCCCCGCCATTACGTTACTGCGGTCTGAACCTTTGACCTTTTCGCAGTAAGCAGTTACTCGTGTACCCGGAATCCATTGGGCGTTACCGTCTTTGTCGACGATCACTCGGATGCTGGCGTACGTCTTTCCAGATGTAGCGGCGGCACTGACAATAAAATCATTATATTATATATGTGATTAGTATCAGTTCATTAGGGTGTTGTTTTTTCCATCTAATGTAATATTGAAATTGTAGGCTAGTTTAAGTTGACGCTAACACACACCCCTCCCCCCTTCACCCCTAACAACCCCATTTGTTTATCATTTTACGGTTAGAATTCGATTATCAGCCATACATAAGGTATTCTTCTTTCAGGGTGTGGAATTTCATGTGACTATACACGTCGTTCAACATTCAGAATTTGAATGTAGCGAGACTTGACCGATGATATTTTCAACATTTAGAAATTAACGGTCACACAGATCAACAGATGAAAATCAGAACTACACACCATTATTCCCTAGTATTGAGTGAAAACAACATATTATACATCTACAATGCTAATACATTCTTACTTGTTATATAATATAATGTCGGGAATCCACACAAGATCGTCGGGAATGTTGATGTGATCCACCTGCGCGTAATCGTCTGGATTCCAGTTTAGCCGGCTATCCTGCCATTTCATCATTTGCCACGTGTCTGCTGTCAACACGCGCTGATCCTGTGTACGGAATAGGACGTCAATAATTTATACAGCGACGTTAAAACATAAAACAACGACCTTGTACAAATATTAATATCAATAATTTACACAGCGACGTTAAAACATAAAACAGCGACCTTGTACAAATATCAATATTAATAATTTATACAGCGACGTTAAAACATAAAACAGCGACCTTGTACAAATATTAATATTTATAATTTACACAGCGACGTTAAAACATAAAACAGCGACCTGGTACAAATATTAATATCTATAATTTACACAGCGACGTTAAAACATAAAACAGCGACCTTGTACAAATATTACACAGCGACGTTAAAACATAAAACAGCGACCTGGTACAAATAATATGAATAATTTACACAGCGACGTTAAAACATAAAACAGCGACCTTGTACAAATATTATTTTTATTATTATCATTGCATTCTTAACGGCCCGTCAACACATAAAAGGTCATTAGGGCCATCAACCGGTAAGGCCTTATACAAATATTAAACATCGAACAATAAACACTGTTATACAATGTAATTTCCTTTTTAATCAGCAGAAAAATAGATAAAAGGGTTATAATTGGTGTTTTCTATGGAGTGTAATGTCTGATACTGGTGTTTTCTATGGAGTGTAATGTCTGATACGATAGTGGAACAAGAAATGAAGATCATTAACTATGAAAAGAAAATTGAAACAGAAAATAATAAATGTACGGAGCCCGTTAACTGACATGCTCCATACTTATTTTATTTCGTTTTTTCGAAATAATAATGCGTTTTTTCGAAATAATATTCCGGTTTTTTTTAAATAAGTATGGAGCATGTCAGCTAACGGGCTCCGTATAAATGCATTCCGTTTCGGTTTTTTTTTCTTTATGAAAAACACATCGTTTTTGCTTCACATGATTTTTAAACAATCGCAAAACTTTGAACGATTTACTACATGTAGGAACCTACCATGGTAACAATGTTGGTGAGAGTGAGACTATGTGATACTTTCACAGTATGGTCAGGACCAGTAGACGGACGAGCATGTCTGTTGTAGCTATAGAACAGGTCCTCCATAATGTCTTCCTCTGGTATATCAGAGCGACCTACAAAAAATTAGCAAAGTCGAAATCCACAGAAGGTATCATCAATACAAATGAAATAGAATAAAATTTGAAAAAGAGAAAACGACTTCTCCATTCATTCGTTCTATCCTGTTGCCAATACGGATCAATAGGAACCTATATTATGATACATCCTGAGTTCTTCATTTCAACATCCAGTCCTATACCTACAGATAAAGATGATCGCATCCATAAGATAATGGATAATTCAGACATGACCTATAAATTTAAAACATTATAGCATCTAGAAATAACCCGTCTCAACAATTAATATCATGATACCGAAATTAAATAAAGAATTCAGAAAAAAATATAGCTACATCACTCATGTAGGTAAGTATACCATTTAGTAGGGAACTATCACTAATATAACTTTATTCATTAAAGAAAGCCCTTTTCTAACATACATTTTCATTTAAAAGAAGTCATATGGCCGACATCGTAGGTCGTGCTGCTCAGTGTAATGTCGCTATGTCATAGTAATTAAGTTTCGTTTGAGCTTTAGTCTACACCTTTTCTATCAGAGCCTGGTAAAAAAACTAACCTTAACCAGAACAACACGTGTCCTCAGCCTTAAAACAATTAAACACATCAGGCTTAAAAGTCTTATCAAGCTTGACAATTAATCTGGAATAGAACGCGAATTGACTAACATGCAAAGCTGCCTTGAGGACGCAACAAATGCGTGGCCTTTCAATAACGAACAGAGAACTACAGAGAGGACATTCTTGTCGAATACCATTTTAAAAAAAACTCTCAACGACAGATGAGTTTACGCTAAAAGGAGAAATTAAGTTAATTACATGACAGACAATAGAATATTGGAAAAGTACATAAACATTAACAAAATAAGCAACGTCAAACGCCGACTTTCATTAGTTTTGAAGTAGATTCGGTGGACATAATTAAAATCTCATCATGGATTTTTTGGTTTCGATCAGGAAATACCAGCGAAATCAAATCATGCTCCAGAGTCAGTGAAGCTCGGAAGAATAGGAGACAAGTCAGAGACACCTTTAGGTAAAGGTTACAACATCGTATCACACACATACACAGAGTATATGAATTAATAACATGCATATTTGTTACACCAGGGGATCTGCAGTCACTTTACCACGACTACACACGTACGGATTAAAAACAGGTTAAAACAATAAAAAATATTGCTTTACAAAACCCTGAAAACAAATGTTGGTAAATATGTATAAACTTGTGAGATAATGAGTCACCGCTACCCTAACAATTAAGACAAATACATTTCTAGCCCAATTTGTGGGGATAGTGTTCTACTTGCCTGGTTACTTCAACGATTCTTAATTTTGAACCAGCTTCAAGAAATTAAAGGAACTTTCAAATTGAAAAAAACAGACGCAGCACAACCATACTTTTTAAACTTGTCTAATCACACGCGATATGGTCTTATTAAGGCCCTTAACGTCACTGGCTAGTCCAAGAAGGACGAAACAACTGTATGATGTAGCATCATTGATTAGTCCAAGAAGGACGAAACAGCTGTATGATGTAGCATTATTGATGAGTCAAAGAAGGACGAAACAACTGTATGATGTAGCATCATTGATGAGTCAAAGAAGGACGAAACAACTGTATAATGTAGCATCATTGATGAGTCCAAGAAGGACGAAACAACTGTATGATGTAGCATCATTGATGAGTCAAAGAAGGACGAAACAGCTGTATGATGTAGCATCACTGACGAGTCCTAGAAGGACGAAACATCTGTAAGATATATAGTTTAATATGTTTTGGCTCTACTTATCCAACTCTAAATCATCAAAAGGTGCTATTCACTTGTGTGTCTTTTGTGCAATCTTATGGTTGCTTTTTGAACGGGAAAGACATTGCTTATCTTAGTGTTTTCTTCTCAAACATAACTACGTGACACAAAGTGTTATCGTTGTAAAAAGTAGTGTGGTGGCCTAGTTCTGCTATAGAAAGCATGCGCAGTTTCATACATGTCGTCGGTAAAAAATATAGACATTATATTTACTCATTGAATATCTTAAAGAAATGCTATATTGATGCTGAATATATTATATTATCTACTGCTAAAGTCCTGCTTTCTTCCCAATTTACCAAGTTTCCGTCAAAAATATTTAAATCATATCAACTGAACACTTTATAAATAACATAAATAATCTGAAAGTATATTAATAGATATAAAAATATGTAAAAGACTAATTAATATATAATTAAAATAACTTTACTTACAGTTGACAGAGACCATGAGAAGAATGGGAATATAGATTATCCTCAACATGCTTAGAGTTGTGGTTATGCTACCAGTGAGAGAGGAAGAGTCCCGCGCTTCTTTATATAAACCAAACTCATCGCCAAGCAGGTCAGCGCTTTGTTGGTTTAATGGTATACCGATCAATCCTGTGTATGACGTTATGCTTTTAAAACAAACCGTTCTTTAAGGTATCATACACGTGAAACTGGAAATATTAAATAATCTATATATGTGTTTGTTATGTATTTCACTTCTTCACTAACTATTCTGGAGTTAAGTTGACGACAACAAACCCTTCAGCTAACAATACTCACAAATCTGGTGGCTAACCTTTAGGTCAAAGACCTCGATGGTTCCCACGCAAAAGAATTGGAGCATGGTAGCACAATACATCTGGCGAAACCCACTCAATTAGACATATAAAGCTTAACACCAATAGTTTATATATACCATTATTCTCATAATTTCAAATCTTTAAAATAAATCATCGTTAAAGCATATTGGTGACCAAGTTTTATGCTAGAAATATATTTATTTCCCACAAATGATTAAAAACTTCTAATGTTTTATTTCATTTTTTCGGTATGTGTTGAAGAGCGGTATGATTATCATTCTGTGACTACCAGGAGCTGGGATGTAGAGCAGCATTATAGGAATGCTTACATACTCGTGCCATTTGTTGTTGTATCTAATATACATTGGATCCGATGAAAGCAATGACATTTAGGCATAACCAATATCAGCTTTATCGCATAAGACATTCCACTATATATTTTAATACCCGTTAGGATTTGTCTTTGTGGATTATACCAACTTCTTTCTAGTAAATAGAACTATATTCAAAGAAGAATGAATTCTAATCAGTGGCAGATATGCCTTTTCTCATCCATACTTTCCAGTGACGCACGGGTGTTTGACCGCTACGTCATTGACCGAATTGTTAAGTTAACCTTTCATCAGTACATCCAAGAGAAAATTGACATCACGGATTTTGAGAATGTATATCTCTACTGATTATGTTTCAATGTGTCTGTGTTCTTTTTTTTTAAATTTCATTTTTTAATTGAAAGACGTCAATATTATACCAAAATACGATCTTCAGTTTCTAAGATATAAAATATAGCTATCATGTATTAGTCATTGTCTGTTTTGTATGTTGCCAAATACTATTGCTACTTATGTGCAATAAAATATATTTAAATGCAAAAAATCATTCAAAATATGTATGTTGCACATGTATCTTTCGTGGCGAGTTCAGCAATAAAAATTGTTGGTTTGTTATCATTAAAAATGTTTAAAATCTTTTATTCAATCATTTATGTTCAAGTAATGATGTATGGAAGATTTATAACAAACGTCTTCTTAGTTAAATTATCTGAGCTGGGATTGACGGAAATAAGAAAAAAAAGACGATTTTTTTTTCTAAATGCAATGAATAGGAAGATAACTCCAAACTCTTTGTCAACGCTATCGACAAATCAATGAAGCTTTAATTGGCAGAACTTTTTTGACGCCAATTCTCCAAGTACGGACGGTCCTTTCTTTGTAGTTCTTCATACGAAGTACTGTAGGCAATATAGATATCAACTTATATTTGTAGAATTTATAACATAATCCACTTACAGTCTGAAAAATGATATTATCTATATGTATTCGTCAAACGTCTGACGCAATCCTGAGCGACACTTTTAATCAAATGGTAGAACATCTTCGGTGGAAATGTCTGATTTACGTCATGTATAACAATGAAATCAGCAGTATCATGCTTTATATTACTCATAACATATTATTACAAAAGGTTATCACTGTATACAATATCCCTACAGTGACAAAATATAACATCAATCAATGTAACTGAATTACAAAATATGGACGTGTATAGGACCTTGACTGATATCTCGTAAGTCACACACAACTGTGGACTGATATCTCGTACTTCACACACAACTGTGGACTGATATCTCGTACTTCACACACAATTGTAGACTGATATCTCGTAAGTCACACACAACTGTGGACTGATATCTCGTACTTCACACACAACTGTGGACTGATATCTCGTACTTCACACACAACTGTGGACTGATATCTCGTAAGTCACACACAATTGTAGACTGATATCTCGTACTTCACATACAACTGTGGACTGATATCTCGTAAGTCACACACAATTGTAGACTGATATCTCGTACTTCAAATACAACTGTGGACTGATATCTCGTACTTCACACACAACTGTGGACTGTGTGGGCTGATATCTCGTACTTCACACACAACTGTGGACTGATATCCCGTACTTCACACACAACTGTGGACTGTGTGGACTGATATCTCGTACTTCACACACAACTGTGGACTGATATCTCGTACTTCACATACAACTGTGGACTGATATCTCGTACTTCACACACAACTGTGGACTGATATCCCGTACATCACACACAATTGTGGACTGTGTGGGCTGATATCTCGTACTTCACACACAACTGTGGACTGATATCTCGTACTTCACACACAACTGTGGACTGATATCTCGTACGTCACATACAATTGTAGACTGATATCTCGTACTTCACATACAACTGTGGACTGATATCTCGTACTTCACACACAACTGTGGGCTGTGTTGGCTGATACCTCGTACTTCACACACAACTGTGCACTGATATCTCGTACTTCACACACAACTGTGGACTGATATCTCGTACTTCACACACAACTGTGGACTGATATTTCGTCCTTCACACACAACTGTGGACTGATATTTCGTATTTCACATACAACTGTGGACTGATATCCCGTACTTCACACATAACTGTGGACTGACATCCCGTACTTCACACAAAACTGTGGACTGTGTGGACTGATATCTCGTACTTCACACACAACTGTGAGCTGTGTGGACTGATATCTCGTACTTCACACACAACTGTGGGCTGTGTGGACTGATATCCCGTACTTCACACACAACTGTGGGCTGTGTGGACTGATATCTCGTACTTCACACACAACTGTGGACTGATATCTCGTACTTCACACACAACTGTGGGCTGTGTGGGCTGATATATCGTACTTCACACACAACTGTGGACTGATATCCCGTACTTCACACAAAACTGTTGACTGATATCCCGTACTTCACACACAACTGTGGGCTGTGTGGGCTGATATCTCGTACTTCACACACAACTGTGGACTGATATTTCGTACTTCACACACAACTGTGGACTGATATCTCGTACTTCACATACAACTGTGGACTGATATCCCGTACTTCACACACAACTGTGGACTGTGTGGACTGATATCTCGTACTTCACACACAACTGTGGACTGATATCTCGTACTTCACACACAACTGTGGACTGTGTGACTGGTATCTCGTACTTCACATACAACTTTGGACTGATATCTCGTACTTCACACATACCTGTGGACTGATATCTCGTACTTCACACACAACTGTGGACTGATATCTCGTACTTCACACACAACTGTGGACTGATATCTCGTATTTCACTCACAACTGTGGACTGATATCTCGTACTTCACACACACCTGTGGGCTATGTGGACTGATATGTCGTACTTCACACACAACTGTGGACTGTGTGGACTGATATCTCGTACTTCACACACAACTGTGGGCTATGTGGACTGATATCTCGTACTTCACACACAACTGTGAGCTGTGTGGACTGATATCTCGTACTTCACACACAACTGTGGGCTGTGTGGACTGATATCCCGTACTTCACACACAACTGTGGGCTGTGTGGACTGATATCTCGTACTTCACACACAACTGTGGACTGATATCTCGTACTTCACACACAACTGTGGACTGATATCCCGTACTTCACACACAACTGTGGGCTGTGTGGGCTGATATATCGTACTTCACACACAACTGTGGACTGATATCTCGTACTTCACACACAACTGTGGGCTGTGTGGACTGATATCTCGTACTTCACACACAACTGTGGACTGATATCCCGTACTTCACACACAACTGTGGGCTGTGTGGACTGATATCTCGTACTTCACACACAACTTTATTATGTGTGGGCTGATATCTCGTTCTTCACACACAACCGTAGGCTGTGTGGCTTTCTGTACGTGACAATTACAAACGGATGTCATAGAAACAAAAAACCACATATTCCCAAGTATTTCGTTTTTTTTCGCGCATTGATGTAACATGTATCGGTGTTGACCTCGTTCCAGAACCAAGATATAAGTAAACAATCTAGAACTGATACGTTTATCGTAGTAAACGTTTAACGTCATTCTTAGTAATACAATATTCAACAAAGCCAAAAGTCATCTCACATCCGCATTCCGAGCACTGAAACAATGATTCACTTGCTCTCAAGATGTTTCTCTGTGAATTAAAAAACCTTGCTTGATAAAATGAATTAGAGCACATACATGCACCTTACACATGTAAAAAGTGGAGGAAATGAAAGAATGAGGTTAACGCCAGATATTCACCGTTCAATTAAAAAAATACCAAGGGTGTATCTAAAGGATATGTAGGCATATGCAAATTCACACACAATGGACTGTGTAGAGATTTACTTTGGGGCAGCCCCCACACCGATCTAAGGAGGGGGGAGGGGGGTACTTCACACACAACTGTTACTTTACACACCCTGTCAAATTTGCCAAAAAAATTGAAAAAATGATAAACGAAGATTCAACTATTACACACATGCTGAAGGTCTTCACACACAACTGTTGATATATGGCACTCACACACATCTGTCTGATATCCTAATACTCACACACAACCAGATTCCCGTACTTCACACACCTGATGTTACTAGTATTTCACACACAACTTTGTTATGTGTAAATATCACACACAAAAACAATTACGGATGTCCGTAAATTCATATTTCGTTTTTTTTCGCGCATTGATGTAACATGACAATTTCGTTCCAGAACCAAAATATTCCTATACTACTTACCTGATACTTTTCTAGTAAACTTTTAACGTCATTCATTTAATACAATATTGACAAAGCCAAAATTTCCATAAATACGAAACAACGGACTTGCTCTCAAGAGGGGCCTTGCTTGATATGAATTTATATGCAGAACATTCAAAATATTTTGGAGGAAATGATAAATTTACCATGATATTATCCGTTCAATGTAAAAAATTATTCAATTATT